GCTTATTGCGCATAATTTTGTTAGAGATTTATATAATACAACGAATCAATATTCACCTCAAACCAGCACAAACTCAATAAAAAGTTGAATTGCATCAAAAAAGATCGCCAATTTGTGCTGCATTCAAGGAAAAAATCAATTAATTAATATGATTACTACTAACGACTAAAGGAAGCAATCACAGAAAAATTACCGAAATTGGCAAGATGTGTACCACTAGAACAATGCAAACACATTTTTGGTAACTCGTGGAAATTTATTGAATCTTGATTGAGAAGTGATGTCGCATCCCCTATATAGCACTGACCTTGTACCATCTGATTACCATTTATTTTTTAGTTTTAAAAATTCTTAAATGGTAAAATTTTCTCTAATTATGATGACATTAAATTGCACTTGTTCAGTTTTCTGTTAAAGTTCATTTGTATACAAAATAAATAATAAAAGACACGTTAGTTAGTTATAAGTAGATATACGCATTAATTATTTTCATGTAAAGTTAGCATTGAATACGTTGAATCAAATGTATGAATCTTCATGTTCCATCATACCTACAATTAGAGATGCACATGAATCATTTTTCTATTCATAAATATATATTTTTATTACACTTTAAATATACGCATGGATACTATAATACGTGACTGCTGTAGATTGCTCAGTGAAAAATGCCTGGTTTATTCTATTTACAGAGAATCTTCAACTAAACATTTTCACATTTTCGTTCATACAAAATATCATCTTTGGCAGTGGATTGAAAACAACTCTAGAATAAATATTATTATAAATTGCGTATTTCCAATTACATTTCAGAGCTTATTTGGTTGCCTACAATTTCTTACTTTTACTATTGAAATACGATCTAAATTACAGAATTTACAAATGATGGATGTATTTCTACCATTTTTTCTATTATTTATTTACACATTTATATTGACCCTAATTTGTGCTATAGACCAAAATCTTTTTACCCGCATTTTATCTATATTTTTAGTTTTTGATAAATATTTTTATATAATCTAAGAATATACTTTAAAAACTAATTAAAAACAAAAGCTAAATTTTATGTCATGTCTTAAATTTAATGTAACTTTTACAAATCATATTTGATATTAAAATCTGTTTTTTTTTTAAATATTATTTCAGCAAATTATAACAGATACAGCTACGATAGGAACCGAACAACACCAAGTCCTCCAAAGCCTTGGAGATCTTCAGCTGTTGGTAATTAACAAATACAATCATATAAAATATAGTAATATATAAATATATTAAAAAAATGTGTCCATCAATTATAAAATTATTATGGAATGGATATGATTGTGTTGGATTGATTTCTTGATAGAGTAAAATAAATATTTATAGGTCAATCAGAAAACAGTAAAGAAGAGAGATCAAGGGAAAGTACGGAAAACAGAACAAACCAATGCGTACAAGGGACAGGCCGAAGGGGATCTCTGCAGCTTTGGCAATTCTTGGTAGCCCTTCTGGACACGCCTGACGCATCGGCTGGTTGCATCGCCTGGACTGGAAGAGGAATGGAATTCAAATTAATCGAACCAGAAGAGGTATTTTTTTTAGTTATTTTGCTATTTACAATATTAATGTAAGTCTTACTTAATGGTAACTTCATATTGTTGAAAAATTAGCTAAGATTTTTGAGAAATTAGGACATAAATTCAAATAGTATTTGTGTCTTGTCTCTAAGTACATATTTGTGTATTTTCTTTCATGCAGCGCTTCTCAACCTTTGGCTTTTTGAGGTCGTGTTTTATTGGGTCGTGAAATGTCAAATTAATGAATGCACTTAGCACTTATGCTGAGTAGTATAGCAAATAGGTTGAGAAACGATGCTTTAATAGACATTGGCACTTATCAGTTATTAAGTCTAACTGGAGGATTCCAGTGATTATTATATCTTCTATTGGTATTTAAGTGTTGGTGTTTGCAGGTTGCTAGACGCTGGGGCGCTCAGAAGAACAGACCAGCAATGAACTATGACAAGCTGAGCAGATCTCTTCGGTATTACTACGAGAAAGGCATCATGCAGAAGGTGGCCGGAGAGAGATACGTGTACAAATTCGTGTGCGATCCGGAAGCCCTCTTCAACATGGCCTACGGATCGGCTCAGCACACGAGCGAATCCCGTAACCGGTCGGAAACGGCCTCCAAGAGCGAACCCCATCACATAGCCACCTACACAGACATGCTCAACCTCTACAACTGCGGTATCGGACATCCGTACCACAATCTGCATTACCTTCAGGACCCCACCAAGCACACAAGATACCCGTAATACTTCGAGCGCGCACTCGTTTTCCGTTTCTTCAATTTTAAAAACAAATCTGTGATTATTCTACCATTTAAGTTTATTTCTTTAAAACAAAAAAAATAATTAATAATAATTAAATTAAAATAAACACATGTATGTTTTCGATCGAGTGTAGAACAATTAGAAAACGCAAAAAGAAAGTATTTATAATTCCAAATATGTTTGTATTTAAAGTGTAAAAACGAGAAAAACAAACAAACAAAAAAAAGATTTAATATTTAATAATATAATAATAAATTGATGTATATTCTAATCAATGTTTTTGTTTTCTTCTTTTTTTTTTTCAAATAAATGCAAAAATTTTGTTAACAAACAAGAAACATTTACAGACGAATTACTGTTTACTCTTCTTCTTTGGACTCTCTTGATCGGAATCTGATGAGGAACCTTCCGATTTCCTTTTCACTGCCTTCTTCTCTTCCACGTTGTTGCCGTTCTTGTCTTCCTCCTTGTCCGTTTCCTTTTCATCCTCTTCGTCCTCGTCCTCATCTTCATCGTCCTTGTCATCCTCCATATGATCTTTGCCAAGTTTATCCTCGATTTTGCTCAAACTCTTCTTAATTCTCAATGCGTCCGGGCTGTAAGACCACAAGATAACTTCCATGTGCTCTTTCGTTGGTAAATCGTCGTCCCACAAGTTCGGATTTTCATCGTCGATCTTCTTCATGATCTTCTTGAGCGCTGCGTTCCTGACAATATCCCAGGACGGTTCATCGTCTCCGCTTTGGACTGTGCGCAAGTTCTTGTACTCCCCTTTAACACTTTTATACGCTTCCATGAAAGCATCACGCTTCGTATCCTCTTCCAGTTTGTACTGTTCTTTTAACGGTAGCAGCAGCTTCATGGTGTCTAAAGGTAAGTAGGGTTTATTCTCTTTAGCTTTGTTGGAGTTCTCGAACTCCTTGAGCCACCCGTCGAATGTGGCCATGGCATCGTTGATGTTCTGCAGCTTCTCCTTGTCCTTCGTGACTGTAACCAATAATAATGTATGCAACCAACCCGCCAGATGGAATTTAATTGTGATGATGCGCGTAGGAGTTTCGCAGCACTTACGAATTTGTAATACATTATGGTTATTTATAACTTACGTGTGAGGACACGCTTTGCCCTGCCAATAAGTCCTTTTATGGCGAGCTTCTGGTAATCAGGATCTCTACCCTCCAGATTCTTAATAGTGTCCAAAGCTTTCTCCTTATCCTTAAATCCCAATCCTTGCACGGTATCGGCCTTCGCTTCGGACATCCTGCAATAATTCGTTTATAATTCACGTTCAACTTTCAAATAAACTGAATAATCACTTTGATATACGCGATTGGAATGAGGGGCAAACTAAATTACTGGAGATGAAGAACGCTGCTCGGCGAGACGCGAAGAACTGGATCCTAATGGATTTGATAAATACACACGGTTGGTTTGTAAATACGAAAATTGATTGGATTTTGCGTGCGCGTCGCGATCGAAAGTCCCACAACACTTTGATGCGAGGCCGAAAACTGCGATGACTGCATCGCACTTCTATACCGAGTCGTTACGTCATTTGGCTCACTCGTTTTTCATGATTTTATGCCGAGAATGTTACAAAGTGACATTACCACAATCAGTTTTACCTTCGACGAATTTCACCGGATCCACCCAGGCTTCCAAATTCCTTCGTCGCGACTTCTCAAACTTTGACTTTTCTAATCCAAAACCATCTGTTCTTCATATGCAATACTCAAAGTTATCAATGAATCCTCGATTTAAAATTAACCTATTATTAGGACCATAAGACGGAACTTTTTTACCTAAAGAAATCTACTTAGAATTGAAGTGTTTATTATGACCTTTTACATAATAATTTATGTTCCACAAATAGTCTGAATTATCTAAATTTGTGGTGTTTCTAGCCAAATGCATTTTATCGTCTGAAGAATATTGTTTTAATAAAAATACCTAATGTTATACTTTATTTTAAAAATCTAACTATAATACACATGTTTTCAAGTTAATAAACCGACAGTTATTAATAATTTTTTATTTCATAAAATATTTTGTATAAAAATATATATATATTTGCATTTGCATAGTTTTTCGGACAAAACAAGGTTAATCTAAGAATCGTAGAGAATACATTTCTTATTACGATCTCAGAAATTAAACGCAAAGAAAATTTCACAGATTTATCCAAAATCTTCTGTTTATTAACAAAATGTCCTATACTTGCTTTATATAATCTGAAAATCTTAAGAAATACTGAGAAAATATTCATATGATCAAGTTTGACCTATATCACATTATATTTATAATCCATGAGTCATGTACTCAATGCAATTGAAATATTTAATAATAACAAAAAAAGAAAATAATACAAGCATACAAATTAAATTTTAATAAATGCATAATCGCCAATTAGTTTCTAATGAGTAATTTTTATAAATAGATCTTAAGTTTTTTCCATCATTTGATGTATGAATAGACGGATTTGCTTCTATCCGAAATAGATTCTTTGTATCTAATGATAAATTGTAGAATTAATTTTTTTTTCCGCATTACTAATGTATTCTCTAGTGTGTGTATGTACTGTTTTCTTTTCGGTACATCAACGTTTAAAAATATTTGACCTCCAAAGCGTTCCGTATTGTTTATATTTAGAAAAAATGTAAACATAAATGTTTTTTTTAATGAACTCGTCCAGTTGGCAACCAGACATACAATCAGCAGCCGGCGGACGCGTGCTTTAACACTTCGCCTGTTATAACATTCAAATTAATTCAATTATTACCATTAGTAAGGTTATAAAATATTCTGTTTCTATGTGCGCTATTTTTGCATACAATGTTATAAATGTTGTTTATATTAGAAAAAAGAAATCACAATTGAGATAATATTCAATTTCTATGACCATTGCAAGGATTTTATATATTATAAGAAACTTAATGGTAAAAAAAACAAATGAACTATTTTAGTAAGTTCACTAGGATTTGTAATTTCTTGAGTCATGCTTCAAACAAACGTCTTAGATAATCAAATGTATTGAATTATAAATCATGATTCGTATTTGTTTTTCATATGTTTATTCTGTATTATAAATGTCCTCTTCGCCAGCGTTTCTCAACCTTATTACAGCGCTACACAACGTGTTTGTTAAAGATTTTCCTATTAAATTAATTGTTATTAAAGTACTTATTATTATTCTGCTAAGAATAATTTTCTTTTTTATATCTTTGTTATCAACAAAATCTTGAAAGAAGAAGTACTTTTAGAATGACACATGACACAAGTCTTAATTCAAATTCTTTCATACAGATGGCAGACAGTAACGTCAAAATTTGCCTAATTAGGGCAGACGACTTTCGAAATCCCGACTGTATCGAAATCCCGACGTTCGAAATCCCGACTATATCAAAATAACGACAACAATAATCCCGACTATATCAGAATCTCGACAACCATAATCCCGACAAACATAATCCCGACTCTATCAAAATCCCGACTGTATTAAAATCCCGAATATATCGAAAATTTTTATAATAACATTTTTAAATTATTTCGGAACGTAGTCACCTCGTGCTACACTTTTATTATTAATAACAATAAATTATTATTAATTTATTTGATTTTGTTGAATTATTCATACCTTAACATTATGAAATAGTCTCAAATACAATTAGATATACAATTCTATATTAGATTAATAATTCTTTTTATCAACAACTTTTAGCTCATATTAATTCTTTTTTGCCGTCCTTATCTTTTTCTTTCTCTCTGTGAAGTTGAATATGCTCAACTCGCAATGAGCAACAACCAACTGTATCGGCTTGATCTTCGTCTTTTTCATTACCTGCCCTAAGAGCGAGTTTATCAATGAAATACAAAGCGACAGCTTTCTGCCTAATTCTCATTTCCTTTGACTTCCATTCGTCTTTATAAGTGGTTCGAATCTTATCTATGCACCTATGAAGCTTTCTTGCAGTTTCATATTTCTGCCAATCATTCTCTCCTTTCAATTTAGAACTAGCATTTAACATAACATATTTGACCTGTCCTTGAACATTCTCAGTCCACGATGCTAACCAGGTTACTGTTGGATCATGTCTTACATCTTCCCATCTGTGACCTGCTGGTGGTTTTGGAATTTCAGAGTCTTGACTGCAGTTAATTAAAACGTGCTCTGGTTTGACACGTTTCTTTAATTTGCCCATTTTCGGATGTTCTCCACGACTTCTGAATAATCCAGGAGGTTCAATCCTGAAATTGCCTATTTCTCTTTTCTCTTTATGACCATCAATTTTACAAAATCCATATTCCTTAACGATTTCTTTGTTTTTCTCCTTAAGGGCAAGCTTTTCTTCTTTTGTGCGATTTCTATTTTTATCAGACAATTCCAAAAAGTATGCTTGCATTTGATAAATCTACAATTTTAGATTACTCCTTTTCTGTCATACATTTTCTCCAATCTACATAGAAGTTTTTGTTGAAAATATCTTTTGTTGTCATGATCCAACATTCGAGCATAAAATCTAGCAACTTCTTCAGCCTCCTCACTCAAACGCATTTCTTTACCATCCTAGAAGAATTTTATATTCGATGGTAATTTTTGCATATGGTGGTGCAAACATAGAACCTCTGTGTTCACTTTGTTCCATCATCTTTCTTCTCCTCTTCCCACCATTTCCAAACATGTTCTTCTTCCTTTTTCTTCTTCTTAGTGGAAGTCGTTTCCTGTTTGACTTCTCTTTTTACCTTCTTTTCCTTCTTGACCTTATAACTTTTCTCTTCTTCTTCATCATCTGGATTATATTTTTTTTGCTTTTTACTTTTATCTTTCTTCACCTTCCTTGAGGTGAGTGGCACATCATCATCATCATCTTCCTCAGATTCAATTTTTCTTTTAGATGATTCAAGTCGTGCAGACAAGGGTATAACAATTTAAAAGTCACTACGCTCCGAAATAATTTAAAAATGTTATTGTAGACATTTTCGATATAGTCGGGATTATGGTAGTCGGGATTTCGATACAGTCGGCATTTCAAATTTAATTGACGGTTGTCGGGCTTGAGATTACCACCGAGGGCAGACACCTTCAACCATTTTTAGAGATATTGACGCGCCTGTTTCATCTTAAATTAAGGGGCCTCCAAATCGCCGAAAAAAAATGTTATGATTTTCTTTGTAGGGTCAATATGGGGCCTCCAAATCAGGTTGCGCCTAGGGCCTCACATAGTCATGATGCGCTACTGGTTATTGATTTTTATTTTGTGTGGTTTCTTTTAACAACAGAAGTGGGTATTTCAAAATTTTAACAGCAGGTACAATCATGCGTAACTGCTGAATATCACCCTTGGTAATATTTGTTTATTACATACAATTTGACATAAGGTGACAGCTGTCATTCTGCGACTCATGAAAAATTTAACGTGCGCCAATATTGGGTCGCGAATAAGTATAAAATATTGTAGTTTCTAGTTTTTTTTGTGTTTAATATAAATCTAATAGATATTAACATTATTGTTCATTTCTTAAATGTATTAACAGAATAATTTGAAGCGATTTTTTTTGTTTTGTCCTTTCCTTTTGTTTGTAATTATTTATGTAATTTTATTGTTGTTGTGATAAACATTATTATTATTATATTAATCATATTAGTTTTGTTTTTGTTTTATCTGAAGATATGTTATAATAATTAAATTATCTACAAAGTGTATTTAATCATTGCGTAATTGGAATGTAACTTAATTAGCAAATAAAAAATCAATTTTAATTACTTGATTTAGTATCAACGTGGAATGATATGAATATTAAGCGTTTCCAGATGCTAATATGTTTATGCTAATACCGACTGCATAACGTTTTGCAACTGAGCTATTTTTAATACAAGTATTATCAAATTATCATGTATTTATATACGAAATAATCACATTAGTCACAACGATAATGGAATGTTAATTTAATCAACGTTTATGTAATACACACAATATTTGTTTAAAATAAATACATCAAAATAATAATAAAATATGTGTTTGTTTTATATATGTATACTAATAATCGATGACTTACAGAAATCAGCAAGATCTTTCGGGACGTTCGTGATATTAATTCTGTAATGTTTGGTTTTAGTTCTCAAAAAATCTATTCGTTATACACATATATAATTTGTGACAACATATTGTACATTTCTTTTGTTTTTGTCTATTTTATTGTCCCAGTTAAATTGAATACTGTAATAAAATTGATACAGACAGTTATCACTATTAAACTATTGATGATTATCTATTTATACTAGAATCAATAAACAGATTTGACCTGAATTATAGATTTTGTAGCAAATATTCAGATGCGCAGAATACACCAATTAATAACATTCCAATTATAGACCCAGTTATCCTTTCCTAGTCTAAGGTGATTAATTCAATGCTCAAATACTTGTAATATTATATTGTTTTCCAATTATACTTAGAGATTTTCATATTTTTGTCTAATAAAAGATAATGAGTGTAATTAATTAAGTTCTATTGTGGAAAATACTTAAAAACGTATTGAGATACAAAGAAAACATATATGTAATTAAAAATTATGATTTTTTTGCGCTGGTTGGATTTACGCCGATTCACAATTACGCCGCTGTGAAATAACGCTTATTAATTGCTGATTTTACACTTATATACAACTAAACCCTATAGTTACCTTAATTTAAATATGAGTTCATTTTACGCCGATTCGATTTGCGACGGCTTTTGCAGAAACGGAACCCCGGCGTATAAAGACGATTACCTGTATTTTGATGGACTATTAACGTAGGCAACCAATTGTGTTTTGTATATTTAGTAAATGTTCAATACATTCAAGTTAGTGAGACAAATATGGGAAGAGAAAATAAATTTACATTTTATATAAATGTTGACAACCAACAAACTAATTATTTAATGATATATCTTAATGACTATTTCATTCGTAAATGACGAATTTCTGTTTAATAGTAAAGCAAATAATACTATAGAGATAAAAAAAAAGCAAAGAGCGAGGAGTAAAGTAAGGAGTAATGTTAGAAGAAAAGTAAGAAGTACAGTAAAGAGTAAAGATAGGTGTAAAATACTGAGTAAAATAAGGTGCAAAGTAAGACTGACGCCTGAGCGCTTATTGAAAGTCTTCAATGTCGTAAATGAGAGAAGTATGATGCAAATCTTGAGGTTAAAAATAAATATATTGAAATATGCACTAATCAAACGGTATTATTCATAATATTAGTCGTTTTGCGATTTAAGTCTATTGTTACTTAATGTTTAACAATGTAACACTGGGTTTACCACTACATTATACGCAAAAGATGTCAAAAGTGCGACTGCTTTCCATTGTATACTAATTATAAACACATTTTTTTTCTCTTTATTTTCCGGTCATCTATCTCACATGAGACAATGAACTGGACTGGTGACAATTAAAACAAAACAAAAATATAAAAAAAAATCAAGGGATTGGTCTAGTAACCAACCTTAATATAATCATTTTAAAGGCACACGCACAATCAAGACATGCACGCACGAACTACTTATTCTAAAAATTATTTGATAGGTCTTGGGGCTTGAAACGCTTCAATCTTCGGCGAGGATTCTTTGTGTGTCATCTCCACAGCAAGTGGGTTTGGGTGAATATCCAACCGGTGTTGATAATTAACGGTGAGTTTACTTATCTTTTCCTTCACTAGTTTGGTGTCGGTGAAAGAATGAATATCGTCGTTTGTGATATACCACGGTAGCCCGGTGACCGTTCTCAGCGTCTTTGATTGGAACCTCTGGATCACATCAATAGTAGTGTTAAATGTAGACCATAATTGAATGCCGTAAGTCCAAATGGGTTTTATGATAGCTTTATATATGCAACAATATATCTACATACGTGTTATAAAAAAGAATATTTTGTAAAATAAATTCTAAGTAAATTTTTGTTATTTTTTTATATTTTATTTAAAAAAAAATGTTATAAATATATACAAAACACGAAATTACATCGCAACCATTTTCAAAACATTTCTTCTATTTTTGGCTTTCTCTCTAGATGTTTATTATTATAAAAAAAAAACATGTATTTGCGAGGATTTACATGAATACAAAATTAAATAATATATAATAATATTAATAAAAAAAACATGAAATAAATAATCGTTGCTTGATTTAAAACGTAATCTTAATTTACTTAAATACTACATGGATTTATTTACAGGTGTGCAGCCACCAGGTGAATGTCGAAGATTTCGATATGACGAGATCAAGCAGCATCCGACGAGCTGTCCTCTTCCTCTTCCAAAATTCCGTCCACCCAGTGGCACGCCGCTAATCATAACTCGGTGGTTTCCATCTTTCTGGGCGGGAGGATCGGTGGAAGAGTTTGGTAGACGTTCTGAATTCTGTTTGATTCAATTGGACAGTTTCCATCGTCCGCCGAACTCAGAACATTCTCATCGAGAGAATCTCTGTCAGATCCTTGGCTAAAAATGATAAATTTACGTTGAGAAACATTTATAGGTGAATGGTAAATTAAATTACCTAAGTTCATCAGTGTTTTTGTACCATTCATTCTCGTAGGCCTTGAGCCACATCGGGTTGCTTCCCTCCATGCTGTGTTTGTTGGTGTTCGGGACTCTTCCGCTTAAACCACTTAATCCGCGACCATCTATATCCGATTCTAATCCACCTGGAAATCAAGAAATATTAATAATAGTTTCAAAGATATTTGAAGTAATCACCATAAGCGGTTGTTGTTGCAGCTTTCAGTTTCCTCTGATAAGTGTGTCTTTGGTTTATGCAAAGTGCCAAGCACAGTAAAAGCAAGAGCAGAAGGAATAAAGAAGAAGCGGTTAACCAGAATGTGGTACCGGCTTTCTGGATCGAACTCAGAGCAGTAACGCCGCCTGGCTGAGTATCCAAAACGTTGAATTCCTTAAACACGTTATCCAACTTCTCCGTGTTTTGGTCGACAAGCTTTAAAACTTCCGCCACTTCCAATATAGAATTGTCTCTCCTATTTACTAAATGCAGGTACAAATCGGTTCTCGTTTTATCAACTGTTCCATCGTGATTGGCGTGAACCTTAAACTCATCCACGTTCACTATTGCTCCAGTTACATTCCCCAACATTCTACAAAAAAAATATAACGAATTAATAAATAATTTAAAAGTTTTTTCTTCAAATAATTACTCTCTAAATTTCTCTATATTGGTTCTCAGTTCGACAGGTTGTTGCCTCAAGATGAATCGCACGCGTTGATCTTCTCTGAGGAGATAAATGAAAACTCTGGCTACATCCTGAAGACCTCCTGTATCATTCGCCATCACCATGAAATCAAAGTATCCTTTCATCCCTTGCTGAGGATCAAAGTTTAACTGGATCGATCCAGTTTCTTTTTCGACTATGAAAGGTGCGCGCTGCAAATTCTCCAAACCTTCGGTTAAAGTCATCTTTACTTTTCCAATTAAATGGTAGGTGATTTCTGAGTTTGGTCCATGATCTGGATCAATTGCCTATGGAATATTCACAAAATTAATTAAAACAACGTTAATTTAAACAATCGAAAATGTTAAATTTTATTAAATCTTGAAATTATTACTTACTTTAACGTGCATAAATTTAGTTCCAAAACTGGTGGCGGTGCTGACTCCACCTGTGAAGACTCTATGCGTGAACTTAGGTGGATTATCGTTGATATCAGTTACTTTAACAATGACTTTAAGTAAGCTGTCATCTGATGAATCAAAGAAGCTCTGATTGTTGGGTGCCCTAGTGCAATCCTCTGTTGCTTTGATCAGCAGTAAATGTGTGTCCTGTTCTTCCCTATCAAGAGGCGCGCTTACAGATAACTCGTGCGTTTCGGAATTCAATCTAAACAATCCATTCTCGTTTCCTCCAACAATGAAGAAACAAATCTGCACCGGACCTTCGTACTCGTAGAAATCACGGTCTACAGTGTCCGGTAACCTTAGAATTTCGTGACCAGGAAGAGAGTTTTCTATCAATAAAATAAATATAATTAATTATAAGAAATATATTCAATTTACAATAATAACTCACCGGTGAAATTAGCAATGAATTCGTCAATTAAAAATTGAGGTTGATAATCGTTGATGCTGCTTACATAAACCGTTAGATCTACTTCGGAACTCAGCGATGGAACACCCAGATCATAAGCTTCTATTCTTATCTGTAAATTGATACAATTAATTAAAGTTTATTTAAGTATAAATAATAAAAAGTATAATTAACATACATCATAAATTTTCTGCTTTGATCTGTTTAGTGGTAAATGGAGTTCCAAAATACCAGAAACTGGAGATAGGTAGAACGTTTTGTAATGCTCCGCAGAATCCGGTTTCAATCTGTACCTAACAGCGCCGTTAGGACCGACGTCTTCGTCTCTTGCAATTACTTGAACCAAAGCGCTTCCTATGGTTGCGTTCTACAAGAACAAAAAGAAATGTTTACATTTTGCTAAGTTGTACTAAAATGATTACTCACTTCAGGTATTTTAAGTGTTGAATTATGAGGCGGTCTTAAGAACATTGGAGCGTGATCGTTTAAATCCGTCACGCAAATGTTGAGATCACCTTGCGTGGAATGACTCGGCGTTCCCATGTCTTGGGCTCTTATTGTTAAAGTGTAATTTCCATGACGACCCTTCAAAGGTCGATTAATACCGACTTCCAGCCATCCGCTGTCGTTCTGCCGCAAGTAGAACAGGTCGAAATCGTTTCCGGCGATGAAATTGGAAACGATCTGAGCGTTCGGCGTTTCCGGATCGTCCGCATCGCTCGCTTTAAATTTACCAACGATAATGTCCGGATCGTGGAACTCTGTGATCGTGACGCAAGCTTTCGGCAGATCCAATTGCGGTTTGTTATCGTTAACGTCCAATATTGAAACGTTGATGTGTTTGAAGGCATTCCTGCTCTCCCCATTGTTGTAACCGTATTGATAATTATCCCAAGCCTCTACCACCAATAAATAAGAATGTTTTGTTTCCCTGTCCAGCTCCTCCGCAACCCTCAGAATACCCGTTTCAGGCTCCAAGCTGAATTTCCCTTGAGAAGAAATCCGATCTAACAGATACGTGATTTTACTGAATTCACCTGAATCTTGATCCTTCGCTTCAACTATGGCTATCTTTTGCCCAACAGCTGTGTCCTCAGGTACCTTAAGCATCCTAGGCTCAGGTAAGAATACGGGACTGTTATCGTTCTCATCCAGAATCTGCACAAACAACTCGACCCTCGTAGATCTTGGCGGGTCATCGGCATCGGTTGCCTTGATCGTCAAATTGAGCCATTCGTAGACCTCATGATCTATCCTATTTGCCACCACTAAATCACCCGAGTTTTTGTTCAAATAAAGTAACTTTACAAGATCATCTCGTCCCTCCAAAGTGTAAGTAACACTTTTGTTTTTATCAGCATCATCGGCAATTACACCGCCGATGATAACGCCGTTTTTGCTGTTTTCGGCCACAGAAAACTTGTAGAAAGGTTGCCTAAACTTTGGATTGTTATCATTAACATCTTCAATTCTAATCTCCAGTTCAGCTGAAAACAATTCACATTTAACAACTTAAGTAATCACTTAAAAAATATATTACCTGTATCAATTTGAGGTCCAGTTTCTGATGCGTTATCCTCAACGATTAAACCCAAATTTATGATCTCCACAACCTCTCTATCAATTGTTTTAGCTACGGTCAAAACCCCATTAACTTCTTCTAAATAAAATAGCGAAGCGCAATCGAATTCCGGAGCAGTTAAGACGATTCCACGTTCGTTCTGCGCACGACACGAAGTAGGATCTAATTTGTATCTTAAATTAGCAGTGGCGTCCAAATCTTTAGCTCTAACTCTCGTTACTTCTGTTCCAACCTTAAAGAAAACAATAGTTTATAATTAAGTCTTCAATATTTGCGTTTTAATTATTTACTGGTGTATTTTCTGTTATGGAAACCATGCCGGGATTAACGAAAACTGGAGATTTGTTGTTAACATCAAGTATATTGATTTTAACAGTAACATTAGCCTTCTTCTGATTCTCTCCTGTAGCTCCATCCAAGGCGATTACATTCAGGGAATATAAGATAGTCGTCGGTTGCGTAAGATCTGGATCCAAGCTAGCTCCTCTCGCTATGGAGATGATCCCAGTTTCTGCACCGATTGTAAATTTGTCTGAGGCACCGCTTTGGATGCGATACACTAAGCGATTATTTGGACTAGAACCATCCAAATCGTATGCTTTTACCTACGTTATAATATTAACCATTATAAATGTGATGAATTTTAGATGTTATTTAAAAACTGCACCTGGAAAATGGATGTTCCGGATGGGATGTTTTCTGGTATCGATTTGTTGTACATGAGTTCTTCGAAAACCGGTGCATGGTCGTTGGCGTCGAGGACGTAAATGACGATGGGAACTTCGGTGTACAAAACTGGATCACCCCAGTCGCTTGCTCTTGCAGTCAAATGTACGATCCTTGTGCTATCCGTCGAAGGACCTTCGAAACTCTCGAAATCCAGAGGGGCTTTTGGTCGAATTACGCCTGTATTTGGTTCGATTGTGAAATTACCGGCTGCAATTCCATGCAGTGAATACTCTATTTCACTGTTTTTTGTACCTGTAATTAATATACCAATATAATTATGGAAAGGTATTATTTATTTATTGGCTATTTTAAATAAATAGAAAAAGAAGTTGTCTATTTACCATTTAAATCTCCATCTCTTGCATCCAGTTTTAAGGGAACTTCGAAATTAGCTTCGTTCTCCATAAGTCTAGCTTCGTACTTGCTTTGGCTAAAGACCGGAGCATTGTCGTTAACATCTTCTAAATTGATAACCAATTGCACCGTGTTTCTGTTGCCGTTTCCTAAATCATCTCTAGCTTCTACGGTCAAATAATGTCTGGAAATGACTTCCCTATCCCAATTTGCTCCACCAGAAGATTTAACAGTTATGACCCCAGTCGAAGCATCCAGATCCAAACTGTATAAACAATATTTTTAGTAAAATAACAATTTGGTTATTTTGATTGTAACTTACAGATCGGCTAAGCTTCCAGCTAAATTCGTGTATCGAACACCTTTGGTCCCGAAAGCTCCGGAATCATCGTCCAAGGCTTGAACCCAAGCGACGGTGGTTCCAACCGGGCAATTCTCCGGCACCCACACATCGTAAATGCTCTTCGTGAATTCTGGATAATTGTCGTTCCGGTCCAGAACGTCGACGATCACCGAAACTTCCGAACTCTTCGCCGAGTATTTAACCGTTTCACGTGCGACCAGCGACAAGTTGAAGCGCTTGACGACCTCGTAATCGAGGGCACTCGAATTCTTCACGCGGATCAGAAACGTCGCCTCGTTGATCGCCTTCGACGGCGTAACCTCGAAGATCTCGCCGTGCTGTTTCAGAAGCAATTGAAAAGTACCATTGTTTCCCTGAAAGAGAGTCAAGATTCAGTAAGCGAGACGCGATTAAAAGAAGTATATTCTTACTTGATCCAGATCGTAGACCTCGGCGATAGAATTTGCGGAGAATGTTAAGGGCGTGTTTGTGGGCGCATTCTCGGGAACTTCGCATTGGTAACTCGTACTTTTGAAGGTCGGCGTTTCATCGTTGACATCCGTTATCATGATCGTCACTTCGGTTGTGGCCGAGGGCACAGGGCGGATTTTACTTCCGATTTCCGTAGCCTTGAAAACAACATATTAATACTTTAAATAAAAATAATTGAAGAATTGTTTTTTTTACCGTGATTTGCAAAATATACGCGCCGGAAATGGTCGATTCCCTATCCAGCAATTTCGTGGTGATCACGTTTCCCGTTTGCCTCTCGATGCGGAATAGGTCGATTTCTTCGCCTATTCCGTTCGAACTCAAGCTGTAAGCAATCGGATTGTTGACCCCCCTATCACCATCCACTGCGGTAACTGCAATTATATATTTATTTAAAAAAATGAACTCAACATAATTCAAATCAATAAAACCTTGCAAAACTGGTGTACCAACTGGAGCATCTTCAGCCACTCTCGCAACCGGTTGGACTTTAACGAATTCCGGTGGTTGATCTTCGACATCCTCCACTTTTACCAGCAAAGCCGCAGTGCCCGTATTCACTCTTCCTTGCTTTGCTCGATCCACAGCCAGGACCTTCAGCTGATGCAAAGTTTGCGTCTCGTAATCCAAATTACCTAATGAAACAATCCGCTCATTATACGCATCTAATTACAAAATGTATCTAATCTTACCGATCAATCGTATAACTCCTTTTCCGCTAAGCGTGCTTATGGAAAATTTTGATTCAGACTCGGACTCTTGCAGGTGGTAAACCACTTGGCCGTAAGCGCCTTCATCTGCATCGGTGGCTTCCAACGTCGCTATGACACCGGTCTCGGCGTCTTCTTTTATGCTGATCGTGGGTTGATACGGTTTAAAGACCGGCGTGTTATCATTGACATCTTCAACGAGCAGCAGTAGGCTTTGGGTCACGTAGTTTCCGTGACCGAGACGACCGTCTGTTAGTGTTAAAACGAGTGCGTATTCGTCGCGTGTCTAGCAAAGGACAAATTTAGATTAATGATGTTTTTATTTATAATTTTAAGTGCAGATTATTACTTCTCTGTCTAAGGGCTGCGCTAAATAGACGTTAGCCTCGGCGGCGGAAACAGTTTCGACGCGGATCACATTGCTTCCGGACTGTTTCCTCACGCCAAACTCCAATTTATCACCATCTGGATCAATCCCTCGTAATTTGTAAATTAATGTACCTAAGAGAATAATATAAACCTCATTAAACACTATTAAACGTTTCGATGTGTACGTTAAATAATAAATAAAAAAAACATATACAAATTAATTATGTAATTAATTAAGATAACAAAAAAAATAATTATGATATAATTATGTTACTAAGGAGTTTTCCAGACGTTCAAATGTGTAAAAGTAAAAAACCTTTATTCAGCGGCGATGAATCAAATTCGTCAGAAGATAACGGAAGAATTGAATTGGGAAGATCCAAATATCAATGTATCAACGCTTTAGTTCGTAGAATATTATAGTCAAATTCAACATATCTTTGCGTCCTCAAATAATCACGAAATTATGTATTTTTCAGAAAGATAATAAAAGAAATAATTAGATATGCAACAAAGAAAGTATTTTTACTATTTCTTAGTTATTTGCTAATGAAGAAACTATTTAATTAGTACCTGTATTTTTATGATATATTTTTTTAATTTGGAGAATTTTTGTTTCTAATAATTTATATAATAAAATTAGATAATAAAATATTGTTAATGTAAATATTTATTCATTTTTTTTTAATTAGATTTTAATAATTAATAAATCAAATCAATATATATATATAAAAGATTTTGACCAGCTTTATATTATTTTAACAAGATATAGACGATTTTTTTTTATAACTCTATTGGTACATATTTTTTATTACAGTTCTTTAATGGAAGTATAATATTCAGTATCTGGAAATATGAATAACTACATTTAGAATGTAAGCAATCACCATGTTATTAGAAATGTGAATGTTTTATTTTACAGGAAGGAAACGTACATTAGGGTCATTGAGATATAAATAAAAAAGTATTAAATCAGTGTTTCATAATAACTTGTTATATAATATTTATGTACGTTTTTAAATTTGTAAACTAAGATGGAAAGAGTATAAATAATTCTGGAGTAAAATTATGATTTATAAATAAAGTCAGCTGGCACACAAAAGAGAAAGATGAACATTCGTTATTGTTCTAGGCCAGTGATGGCAAATCTATGACATGAGTGTCAAAGGTGACAAAGCAAGTCGGTTTGAGTGACTCGCATCAATTACGGACGGTTTTCGCCCAGTACGGTTTCAAATATCACAAAATTATGGATATTTCTAGATTTGAGATGGGACCGGATTTAAGCTGTTTTTTCCGAAATTTGACACATAAAGCTCAAAACTATCGCCATTGATGGGGTAAATATCTATATAAAACAAATATTTGTTTCAATAATTTCTAAGTTTTAATATACAATAAGAACTGAAGAGGATTATATTAAAATTGAGAAATGAAAGAAGCGAAAGAATAAATATTGAAGATGATTATGTAATAAATATGAATGATTTCAGAAAGTTTAGAATTATAGAGACAAAGACGATGATTGAATGCTCCGGATACAGTGTGAGAAATGCCTGAGGAACTAAGCGAAGAGAAAATATGTTCGCAATTGTAAATAATGTGTGCTATATAGGAATAATTATATAATTTTTTTAATCTTTGTTCATAAATTTATATAGACAAAAAATGTGAGCATTAAATTTAGAAAAATAAAGTTTAAAAGAATTTACAGAAGCATTTTATTTATAGAAGGATTTAAATCTTCTATAGATTGTTTATTTTCAAATTTAATTTGTTCTTTTGCTTTTCTTTAGTGGTATTTCTTTATATTTGTCTCTTTTATTATCCCATGCCAATAAATTCTTTTGATATAATCAAGTAGCAAACTTAAAATTTGTACCAATTTAATTCATATTTTTCGAAAACCTCATGCACGTAACTTAATAACAAATGTCTTTTTGTTTTGTTACAATTACTTCGTTTTATAGAAGAATACATGCGAACATACTACAAAACTTATTAAAATAATTGACACAAAGCGTGTACTATATAGAACATTGATCATCAAATTGTTATTAGTCTTGTATTCACAAGATTATTAAATTTAAACTTTTTTTAATGATAAACTTAATACACAAGAGTTAATTTATTTGTGTTCTATCAATTTCATCAACATATAAATTAAATTATTTAAGTATTTTTATTTTGTTTCAATACACATGTGAATATCCACTTCTTGTTGAGTTTCAATCGGAATCACGACAACCATAATCCCGACAGTTTCAAAATCCCGACTCACGTTTCTTTAATTTCAAACTTATACACTTGCTGGAATTATGAGATTTCTTAGCTATTTTATTATTGATGATTATCACTTTTATTGTAACTTAGATAAGAAAATTCTAAGTGGATTGGACAATTACCATTATTTTTGTAGTCGAATAAAATTAGCATTTGAATAATAAAAATGATGGTAGCCGCATTTGCATCGTTCGGTTTTCAATTAAAGTAGATGGGAAGTGAAACGGAGAGAGTGCACACGATTAGCAATTCTTCTATTAAGTAGACTAATTTTCCTTATTGGCTGCAGTCGAAGTTGGTTACAAGAGCACAAGGAATACATTATTGTAAATAATATGGACGTATAAACAACTTTAATTATATCAATTAGATTTCACATCTTAGGAAAATCTCAAGAATAATTCATATTTTATCTTATCGTTACTATACATTTCAAGTAAAAAACTTTAATAAAATAGGTTGTAACCTACTATGTTACATGAAAATGTATTTATAGTCATAAAGTTTTTGTTTTGAAAGATACATTTTGTGGAAATAATAAATAATTCTTAGTTACAAGAAATCTACTCACTAAATCTTGAATTTGATTAAAATCTTATGTCTTAATTTCTTTATACATTAGATAATTTAATGATATTTAATAAAGTTTTTATTTATTTGTAGGTTTTATATGAAATTCAATTTATATGAAGGTATCAAATTCAAGAGTGATTTTACTTTTTGTTTCAAAGTTTCTTTATTTCACAAAGTTTATGAAATGATGGCAGTGGTTGGAAGTGCATAAATTCTATGGAATTATGAAGATTGAAGGGTGAGTCATTTCCTGTGCATGCAACCAACCATCGTTCATTTCGCATGAAATATATCCTAAATGAAAAGAACAAAAAATTAAAGTAATTGCGCATAGAAAAAAGTTAGATTACAGTCGTGCCCCTTCCGATCGAGAACCTTTCCATTTTCTCTACTCAAAACTGTACAATTCAATTTAAGTTTTGAATGATGTTTATCATATCATACATTTTAGTACTCCTATTAGTATTATAATTATATACAAATTCACATTATGGTAACTCTTTTATAACATTTTGTTTTGCTCTATTTGTAATCTAAATACGACCTGTAGTAATAATTCGCCAATATCCGGGGCTATTTAAAAAACCGGACAAATCGAAGAACTAAATACAATTGAAATAAACCGCAAAAAGAGATTTAACACCGATTTTTTTTATGTATAAAATATAATCATTATATCATTTATCAATCAATTTATTTTGAAATTTTCAAGTGAATCTGCACTGATCGAATCAGAACATTGATTTTACTTATTCCATTTGCAATTTCAAATTCATATCTTGATGAAGGATGCTATACGTATTTGTAATTTGATATTTCTTATTGAAGAAAGATTACATTTTCTAAATTTTTACAAAGCGCACTAATTTTGGCTAATTACGTCTAATACAATAAATTAATTAAATTTAAGTATAAGAATTGAAATACATTTCTTTAATACTTGTTAAAATTGTTCGTTTCCTTTTATTTTTTGTTTTCTATATACTTTGATAGAAACTTGTTTATATAAAGGGAAATAATAATTATAATTCATTTTGTATTAAAATTTTTAAACCGTATTATAATGAATATGGACTGATCGAACTACTGTTTTAGTGCTTCTCTGCTGCAGTCGATTTGTGTCATTGTGGCTGGCAATTTTCTTGTATTTGATCATGTTCTTTCTCATTTATCTCCTTTATTTCTTCGATTATATCAGTTATGAATAGACGTTTACACTCTTATTTTGTGTATACATAAATATGGATATGAAAGTCGGCAATTTAATGTGGCATAGTATCACGACCGATTCGAAATTCAAATTCAAAATCTGCATAAGGATTTTAATGCATGCTCATTAGTTGCTCATTTTGTTTGAATACGGAAAATTGCTTTATTAGATGCGGTCACAAAATTGGAACAGAAACATGATCGCAGACATCCGCCGTCGGCTAGAAAGCCGCGATTTGGGCGCAAACGAATGCGAATATTTAAATCCGAGCAATTGCACGTACTTAATGCACATGCATTGGCGGTTATGATTAAAAACCGTTTGCTGAAAAATTTCGTTGCGCACGTTAACTTACTAGGTGGATTAACGTTAGTTTCGTGTTCTGCTTCTTCTCATATTTTTTTTTTCTCTCCATTCCGTTCATCTTTTGCGCTGTTTTTAAATAATTGTTGTTGTTTGTGGTTTGCAAATTTAAAATGAAATATTTAGATATAAACGGTTTACTTACCAACTGGAGTTTCATCTCCTTCCTTCAAGCGCAGGACGATCTCCGTTTGGCCATCGATAAGAAACCGTGGAGGACGATTGCAGTAGGCGATGTCCAGAACTAAGAAGAAGAGCAACAACTTGGCCGTACCAGAAATCATCGCATATCATCATCAACCGTCATCACAGACTAAGGCGTTTCGTTTCCATGTCTCGCTTTCCTCTCTGTCGAAAATAAAAAAAAAAATATAATGAAAGAGAAGAGAAGAGTAAATAAAGTGAACAACAAAGGACTCATCAGTTACGCACTGTACTAAACAAAAATGCCATTTATATAAATGAAAAGAGGAACGACGCCAATTTGATTAATTAACCGATTTTTGGGTCACACTTTCAATAAACTTTTGCAAATTTCCCTTTGTGGGAATTGAGCGGAAATTATGTTATAAACATATATGAGTGGAAATCGTGTTTTATTACATGCATATTCTGGAAATTTCGTGAGAAATTCCGTGATTCCGATTTTAGTTTTTTTTACTTTGCTCGTTTCCTGGCATTTCAAAACTTGTCATACTTGTTTCATCTGAAAGGCAACTCCCTGCAATGCGGTGTTTTTACTCTATAAAACCATTAATTTTTTCAGTTTAGCAAAAACACTAACATACTACAATTCATTAAAGTTTGATAAATAACTAATTAGTGATTGGAATGAAATCATTATGAATTACATTTTTGAACAAACAATGAAAAATATAGTCGAAAGTTTTCTTTAAATTCAAATTACATCTATACAACGTATATGTCTGGCAAATATCAATATTGCTATTAATTATAAATTGTATATTTAAAAATTATTTTTTTTGTAAACTTTGTAATGTTTATATTTATATTATTGATACATTTTTCAAGTTTATTTGTATTATTTACATTTTCTTTATTTGCAATAATTTAGTTCCAAATGGCTTCATTCTTTATATTAAAGCTTCTTATGTATATATTTCTTATGTAAATTGCACCAACATATCTATCATTGTCTATCTTGTTAGTTATTTATAACTTTCATTAGTTTACTAAATCCTTGCATTTCTCAAACTATTCTTTTTGGCAACTTATCATTATATTATTATATTATTTTAAACACATAAATAGAAATATACAAGATAATAGCTTTTAAACATTGATGTCTTTCTAGTAAAAAAAAAATTTATAGTAATGATATCTCATTCACATAGAAAAATAGAATTTAAATACTCAATACAAATCTATGTTTTTAACACTTTCCAGTCCAGTGATTCCAAATGGAATCTTAATTTTTAAGTTCAATTTTGTCTTTCGATGAAAAAATCTATTGGAAGCAACTAATGGGAATTGAGGCTAGATGTATTTCTAAAAGTAAGCAATATTGAATAATGAATAAAAACAAGTAAGATGTTTTTTAAGATTAGAGAAGTGCTTTTATAAAAATTTGAATAAAACAAAAAAAAATGTTTTGAAAAAGAATTTGGGCTGAAAAGGGTTAACAAGTAAAATTAGATTAGTAATACATTAATTATAAACTAAATGTAATAAGTTTATAATAGAGTTTAATAGGTTTTGATTATATTTGTTTGTCAACATTTGTTTTATAAATTCACATGGTTCTCATTTTACATCAATTTCAAATAATATACATAAGACTCATTGTGTGTGCGTATAAACAAACTGAAAGATATAAATTGAGTGCTAAATTTAAGTTATTGGTTCTATTCTCATTTTTTTCTTTGTACAGCGATTTTTAATATCATTATTCTTGAATATACAAAAGTAAATCAAAAGGACATGGAAAAATCGTAATGCAGAAAAAAAAATTACATTGTATAAAAAATAATTCAACTTATTAAATTTAAAAGAACATTGATATTTATGAACACATTTCATTGTTGTTAAAGCAAATTTGTTAAGAATAATATTTTAGTAATCGAACTCTATGTTAATCATAAGATAAGATGTAGACAAAAATATAATAAAAAGTATATTTGTAAAATACCAGCATCACAATAAATACAATAATAATTTGAACCTAAGATTTTGCTAGATTAGAAACTTGAGTTCATTTGATTTTGTTAACTAATTAGGCGAGTAAATGTGTGCCCTGAGGTAAAAATGTTGGTAGTCAATTTCATTGTTTAGCTTATAGTAAATATAAAGACGGTCGCAACGACGGTAAATTGATACCCGGATAATCGTCTTTTTACTGTATATATAAAATAGGTAAATTTAGAATACTTTTAAGCTTCGAGAAAACTGCGTTATATCGAATCAGTATTAATTAAGGAAGCGCTATGCGATAAAGCAATTTTACTTTGTAAATCTGATGGCAAGAAAAACAATGCTATGAATACAAAAGATTAATTGGAAAAGGTGACACAGATATAAATAAAATATGATTTTTCAACAAGCAGATCAATTTCATAATACAAAAACTATTATATTGCACAAAGCATAACTCAAATTTAACAAATATAAATAACGTTTAGTATAGTAAAAATACTTGCATTTTAATGTTAGTAGAGTAAATACACTAAGTAGAAACTTTCGGTAAGTTGGACACTTTACGTTGAGTAATACACAAGATCACTTGTAGATACGTACTGGCAATGAGGTGTTAAAAGTGATTTTGTACCTTGGTAAGGAATACCACCCTCTTTTTACAAAATACATTGCACAGCCCCTTTTTACTACGTTCAAGGTATTACGTTAGAAACGGAACTAATTCAAAGAATAAGGAAAGTCATAAAATAATTTGACAAAACATTGATATTAGGTTCACAAAAAAACAAATATTTCTTTTAATTTGTTACAATAAATTAATAATCGGATCATATCAAGCCTATGTTTATACAAGTTAAGTAATACGGGAACTGGATGGGTGATTTGTTACTTTTGCTGGTGACTTATATCCCGTGTGCAAATTTAGTTTCGCGATTTATAAAAAATAGGGTGTCATAAAAGAAGCGTTACTATTTTGTTTTTCTCTCATTTTATTTTTATTTTAATTATATATGTTGTATTAATATATTCCTTTAATTATGATTATTAAATTTTATTCTAGAAAATTAAACGCCACTATAATGTTTTATTTTTATAATTGGATAAAATATTGAACGTAATCATAAAAAATCAAATATTTCTTTTAATTTGTTATAATAAAGCAATATTTATTAAAGTTAATTAATACGGGTTGTGGGTGAATGATTTGACCCCTTTGTAGGTGACATATATCCCGTGTTCAAATTTAGTTTCTCGATTTATAAAACATAGAGTGTCATAAAAGAAGCGTTACTATTTTGTTTTGCATTAATTCTATTTCTATTTAAATTATTTAAGTTCTAATTATATATTCGTTTAATTTTGATTTATTAATTTTATCATGGAACATTAAATGCCACATTAATGTTTTATTTTCATAATTATATAAAATATTAAGATTAATAAAAAAAATCAGTTAATAATAATCTTTATTTGAACAATAAAAAAAAAACAAAATAAAACCTTGTGATACAATTATAATAGAAAAACACAAGGTTAACTGCTGCTAAGAGCTATTGACCATAAGTCCTTCTTCCAAAAATTAAATATTTCTTCTAATTTCTTGTACTAAATGAATCACCTCATAACAAGACAATGTTTATAAAAGTTAAGCAACATGGGTTGCGGATCGGTGATTTGTTCTCTTCGCAGGTGACTCGTAACTAATTGAACACTATACTAAAGTAGAAATGACACGACTTGTTAGAGTAATAAAAGTTATGTTCATTAAATACAAATATCTAGTGGTCGATGAAATATAATAAATACATTGTAAACAAAACTACTATAGTAAGATATAAGTTTATTCACAAATATCTCAATGTAAGCTTAACATTGAAACCGTTCTCCCAAGAAATTAATAACTAATCTTCCTTTAAAAAAAATTCAACTCTTTTTTTTAACTTTGAGGGGTGGTGGTACACGCCATGTACCACCTTCTGAATATGCTTACTAGAGCATTATTAAAATTACTTCAGAATATACAGGATAGAGGAATTACCATTTAATGTGGTTGATATGTCAAGGGATGGATCTTGATAGTCCATACCATCCAATGTTGATTCAGTTTGATGAAGTTGTCTGATTTAGTTGTCTATAAATTTGTTGGGTTTAGAAATTTAGGAATTTCTGGTCCCTCAATGATATCAATAAGTATAATTTTCAATAAAACTATGAATTGCGTGCACATCTGCTATAACCGAACTTGTGTGATAATATCCTGTATGAGAAATGTCATTGTTTTTCTTTCTTTCTATTTTTTTTATTATTATTACTAAGTTTCGTTGTTCTATCGGAGAAATTGCGGATGGCAAGCGGCATGCATGCTTTTATAGGTCGAGCTGCTCAAGAGATATGACAAATTAATTATGCATATAACATGTAACGCACACGTCAGATTCGTTTCATTCAATCTGGAAATAATCGCGTACGATATCGCTGTTCAGTTTTCGTTCGAATTTGTTCCACATCTCGATACGGTATTTTATCCAGACATAATCAGTATATGAATGAGGATTTTTCGTCGGCGAATCGCGCACCCGTTTCTCTTTCATTCACATTCATCCGCAATACCGGATACAAGCCTACAGAATTTGTACTTCTTGTTAACACAATCCGTCTATCCTTTGGAATCCAATAGAATGGAACGGAAAATGCTTGAATTATGTATATTAGGTGTACGTGTTGCAATTGCTTGACGTATCTAATTTGTAAAAGAAATTGCTACGTTTGTACAAAGTAATTACAGTTCCTAATAATTTCTGTATTTTTAATGCATTAGTAATTAACATGTATTTCATATAACAAAATCAAGAATTAACATTAATTTTACACTTATATGTACGTAATTATTACTGTTATTATATAATGTTGCAACAATAACAATTATTAATAATTAATTACTAATATAATTTATGGAATTAACTGATATTTTTATATGAAAAAATATTGATATTATTTCAAAGACGTCAAGTTTTATTGAGATCAAATATTTCAACATTCTTCATTGGTTCAATTTCAGTTTTAAATTTCCCTTTAGTAATTGCAAAATATAATTGGTCATATTGGGACATATTTAATAGACGTAACTATTTTTATTCTACTTAATTTAGTCCATATTTATATTCCTTTTCCGAATTCAATTTCTTGATTTATGA